TATGCTTTTTTCTTGAAGCATCACACATTTGTTTTAATGAACCAACAGATAATGGATTTTCAAAACAATGTCCTATTGAATTCAGTCTTGAGTTATACTACTATATTCCATTAACTCATGAGACTAAAAAGCAGATGACTTCATCTCCCTGTACCTTACCTCGATTGAACCTTTTTGGGAGAAAATTTGGCAGTTTCTTACAAAGTTAGTCATATATTAACCATACAACTCAGCAATCCTACCTCTAAGTATTTTATATAAAAGAAATGAAAACTGCCCTAGTTGGTTTATCTCAGTGGACAGAGCATCAGCCTGTGGACAGAGAGTGATCCCAGGTTCGATTCTGGTCAAGGGCATGTGCCTGGGTTTCGGACTTGATCCCCATTGGTGCAAGATGCAGCCAATCAATGATTCTTTCTCATCACTGATGTTTCTTTCTCTTTCCCTCTCCCTTCCCTCTCTGAAATCAATAAAGATATTAAAAAAAAGAAAAAAAGAAAACTGTTCATACAAAATCGTGTACATAAATGTTTATATTGGTTTTCCTCTTTAATGCCCAAAATTGTAAACAACAGAAATGTCCTTCAACAACAAACTGTGCTTTATACAATAAATTCAGCAATAAAAAAGAATTATTGGTACATGCAACAACAATGATAAATCTCAGATGCTTTAGCTAAGTTAAAGAAGCTAGACTAAAAAGTTTCATACTGGCCCCACTAAGCAGTGATTACAGGGTTGGCCCTAACATCGATGGGCTGCAAGTTTTGTTGTTGTTTTACTAAGCATCAACTTTTTTTTTTAACTTAAATTCTTTATTGTTGAAAGTGTAACATGCCCGAGTCCCCTTCCCCCCCACCCAGTGACCTCTCCCCAGCCACTCCCTCCCCCCATCACATGCCCTCAATCCCCTACCATCTGTGTCCATTGGTTATGTTTATATGCATGCATACAAGTCCTTTGGATGATCTCTTACCCCCTCCCCTGCCCCCGCCTTCCTGTTCATCATTTTACATTGTTAATTATATTGCACAAATGAGTGAGATTATATGATACTTATCTTTCTCTAACTGGCTTATTTCTCTTAGCTTCATGCTCTCCAGGTTCGTTCATGCTGTTGCGAATAGTAAGAGCTCTTTTTTACAGCATAGTATTCCACTGTGTAGATGTACCGTATTTTTTAATACACTCATCTGCTGATATGTTTCCAAATTTTAGCTATTGTAAATTGTGCTGCTATAAATATAGGGGTGCATATATTCTTTCTGATTGGTGTTTCTGAGTTCTTGGGATATATTCCTAGAGGGTGGCATATTTTATTCTCGGCCAGTTTGGCGCATTGTGGAAAGCAACCAATTGATGTGTCTATCTCATATAGATGTTTCTCTTTCTTCTCTCCCTACCCACTTCCACCATTTCTGTCAATCAATGGAAAAAAAATCCTTCAGTAAGTATTGAAAAAAGAATCCTCATGCTGTATGATTCCATTTATATGGCATTCTGAAAAAGACAAAACTACAGGAGAAAGCAGAGAACAGATCAGTGGTTGCCAGTAGAAAGGGTTAACTACATGAGAGAATTTTGGGGGTTTGTTGGAAGTGTTCTGTATCTTGACTGAGGTGTTAGTGAAATTTACTAAATTGAGATAAATGTCATCTCAACTAAAAACTATCATCATGGGATAAAAAACACAAGAATTCAATTTCATAGGAAAGTGTGCATTTGTAAAATTAACATTAAAAAATAATTTTATCTTTTTAAGAAAAGTCTGCAAAAAGACTGAGCATCTCTGCTCAAGCAATCTCAGAGAATAACATCTTTATAGGTATTAAAAACCATCCTATATAATAAAAGCCCAGTGATCATAATGGTGAGACAACCAGAACTACTGAACTAGTTGCTATGAATTGCAATGACCATCTCTAACACCCCCCAACCCCCCCCCCCCCCCCCGGGCCTGCAGGCTTTGAGTCGGATGGCAAATGGGGATCTGGGGTGGTGGCAGGACGGGACTGGAAACTGGAGAGCAGGGAGGAGCAGCCAATCTCTTGGTCCCTCTCCCCTGGCTGCAGGCTCCAATCACCAGATGGCAAATGGGGAACAGGGGTAGGGTGATAGCGGGACAGGACTGGGGACTGGAGAAGGGTACCAGGTGGGTGGTGGCAGCAGGATGGGACTAGAGACTGGCGAGCAGGCGGAAGATGGTCCTGATTGCAGGCTAGGCCTAGGGACCCTACCCGAGCAATTTCATGCACTGGACCTCTAGTTCATTCTAAAATCCTGAAATTTAATCACTTCAAGGGAAAGTGGTTAACTAGAGTTGTACCTCTTCATAATTTTCCATGCTGTTGCCTTTAAATATGTGGTAATAAAATATTTTTTCTCTGAAACATACATAATTCATAATAAAGTTTTCAAAAAAATAATTCATTTAAATTTGAAGACCTATCTAAGATTACAAAAGAGAAGAAAATAAATTACACACTCTTACCCTGTTGCGCTGGGATAAGAGATACTAAACTTTCGTTTCTCTTTATCAAGAGTTTCTAATGCCCCAGCTTGTGTGGCTCATGTGGTTGAAAGTCCAATCCCCTACACCAAAAACTTTGTGGGTTAAATTCTGGTCAGGCCCATACCCTAGGTTGTGGGTTCTATTCCTGGGCAGGGCATATACAGATCAATGTTTTTCTCTCCCTTTCCCTCTCTCTAAAAAAATCAATAAGCATATCCTTGGGGCAAAGATAATTTCTATGTAATTAAGTCCCTCCAGTCTTCTACAGTATCTCCATACTATTTGCATGTTTCATTTACACATGTATCACCCAGTACTATGGGTTTTTGGCCACATAGCTATGTTTATTAATATTGACTCCTGTTTGTTCATATACTCCATGAGGGCAGAGACTATATTTCAACAGAGAGAGTCTGGTTTAGTATTCTCATTCAATAAATTTATGAGACTCCCAAATCTACATCTCTAGCCCATAAACCATTTCTGGCTATCTAACGTTATCTTCATAGGTGTATCCTACCCCAAGTGAAATAAACTCATAATTTCTTCTAAAAGTCACCTGAAGGATTAAAATCCTAAAATGTCTACCTTTTAATCTGCTGTTGCATCAATTTCCTTCTTTCTTTTTTTATTTGCAAAAAACTAGAGCACTTAAAGTCCTCAAAAGGAAATACAGCTTATAATTATTTTACTCAACTCTAAAGACAATAATTAAACAAAATGAATAGTGCTCACAGTATTCTAGTTTACATCAGTGAACTTTCTCCTGATCCTTGCTAGCGGATCCTTTGTTGCCCTCAAAGAAAATAGAGAATCTGGCGAAGACATTAACATATATATAAAAGATAGCTAGCTGAACAGTTATGGATAAAAGTCTAAAAGGATATTAATCCCAAAAGGTAATTTGTTTTTGCAAGATCATTTTTTAAAATATATATTTTATTGATTTTTTAGAGAGGAAGAGGGGAAACATTGATGAGAATCATCAATCGGCTGCCTTTTGCACTCCCCCCTACCTACTGGGGATGTGTCCGCAACCAAGGTACCTGCCCTTGACGGGAATTGAACCCCGGGACCCTTCAGTCCTCAGGCCTACGCTCTATCCACTAAGCCAAACCGGTTTTGGCTGCAAGATCATTTTTACTAATTCTTAGGAGATGCTGATTTTGACAACCCAGCAAACATTTACTAACTGCAGATGTTCAAGATTTTTGTGAGGAACACTTAGATGATCAAGGCACTGTCCTTAGCCCCAAGAAGCATATAATCTGAGGGGAGGTAAGGTTTGGCTGGCGCCTACAAATACAATTAGCAGAACGTGGTCAGTGCTGAAACCCTTCCCGGAAGTTCCCAGTTTCAGGTAACCGAATTTCACAGAACAGATTATTTTACAGTAATTTCCAATCGATTTGGTGCAGAATTGAATAAGCCACGAAAGCTTACTTAACACATACACACAACAAAACAACAGTTTATAAAGAAAGTACAGCTTGAGAGGTAAACGATGGTCTGGAAAATGTGACATTTTAAGACACATAGGCACACTTATAATTTGGGCTAAGGGGTGTGTGTACTCTCATCAAATGCAAAGCAAAATTCAAACGTGAGCTTAACGTAAGAAAACCCAACACAGTCCAGTTCATAGAGGGTGTTTCCTTTGACAAACACACACACACACACACACACACACACACACACACACACACACACAAAACAAAACAGGAACACTTGGTTTCACAGATCGCTGACCAAGCGAGAAAAGAGGAAAAGGGAGTGAGGATCTGCTTTTATTTCTTCCCTGGTTTAACTTAACACACACACACCCACTCCAAGCTTCCTCCCTTCAACTTTATGTTTTATAAACATCTTAATCCTTTAAAAAAATATTGCGACCAAAGATGACAAAACCGGTCAAATGCATTTCACCCAACCAGATAGTTTGAAAAAGAGGCACCACCTTCTGGTTTGAAAAAGCGCACCCACAGGCTCCCCGGGGAGGCGGGTCACGGGGCGCTCCCCGCACCGCTCTCCCCTCTCAGGCGCCCCGTCCCCGGGGCGGGAGAAGCCAGCCCCTCCCCAGAGGGGCTGCGGAGGTCGCCCCGGAGCTGAGGTTCGCGGGGACCCGGGGGAAGAGCCTCTCGGCTCTGGAAGAAGAGGGGCGAGGGGCGCCCAGGAAGAGCAGCTGCGCAGGAAAAGGGCGCCGCGATGCTCCGTCCAGTCCCTGCCCTTCTGGGGAGCAGGTCGGACCCCCGGCCGGTCGGCGGGTCGGAGAAGGCCTAACCGCCCAGACCAACTCCAGCGCACTGACAGGTGCCCGAGGTGGGGCCCCCGTCACGGGCGCCCTCCCGACCAGGTCCCGGCGTGCCCGGGAGGGTGGGAGGTAATAGGTAGGTGAGAGGGGGTGGGGAGGGACAAGTTCCTGCAGGGAGAAGGCTCCGGAAGGTGAGGTGAGCGGCGGAGCGCAGCACCGCCGGCGACGCGGCCTCACCTCCAGGGTGGTGACAGTGCTGGTGAACAGGTCCTCTCCGTCCTCCGGCTCCTCAAAGTCGGCGGGCTTCCCGTCCCCCAGCGGAGGAGGCTCCCTCTCGGCCGCCATCTTCGCTCGCCCCGAGGACTGCGCGACGGGGCCCGCGCGGACCTGTCACGTGAGCACGCACGGCAGGGCTGGCGCGCGGGCCGCGGGCTCCCGGGCCCGCCCCTGGACCCGCCTACTCGCGTGCGCCCCGCCCCCGGCCCCGCGCTCAGCCCCGCCCATTCTCCTGTTCCACCTCCGGGCTGGGGTTGCTCTGCAGTTCACCGCCCACTCGCTGTACCCGAGTTTTTAAAAACTGCAATCATGGCTACTTTCCTATCACCGGTAATAATCTGAAGGATTATGGAGTTCAGGGCTAGTTCTTATTTGTCTTTGGGTAACCCTCTATTAGTTATCTATTGCTGTAAAACAAATTGTCCCAAATTTAGCAGCTTAAAAACACAAATATCGATTTTCTCATGATTTCTCTCTGTCAGAAATCCAGGTGCAACTTAACACAAGGCCTCTCATTCGGGGTCTTTCCAAGGCTGCAATCAGAGTATCTACCAGAGCTACAGTCCATTCAAGACTCAACTGGGAGATCTGCTTCCACACTCACTCCTGTGACTGGTGGCAAGCTTCAGGTCCTTGCTGACTGTTGATTCAAGACTGAGTTCCTTGCCACATGAGCCTCCCCTAAGGCTTTGCCCATAACATGGCAGCGGGTGTAAGAAAGATAGAATGAGACAGCACCAAGAAAGGATAACAGGGTGAGTACGACAAAAGCCAGTCTTTTTGTAACCTAATTTCAGAAGTGGCATTTTATTACCTTTGCTGTCTTCAGTTCATTAGAAGCCCCGCTTAAGAAAAGAGGTAAAACAATAGTGTGAATAACAGGAGGCAGGTGATGTTGGGGGCCATTTGAGAGGTTACCATAAACACTCATAGTGTTTAATATTTAATAACATAGATGTCCTATTAGCACTTTAAATGAATAAATGAGTAATTATATGAAATTCAGAAGAGAGGGCTAAGTGAAAGTTAGAAATTTGGTAGTTCAAGTCACTAGTACAAGAGAGGACACAGGTAGTCTGGGAAGCACAACCCTAAGAATCATTTAAGAAGGAGGCAAAGGAAGCCATGCCATAAAGAAAATGGAAAAGCAGCAGATAGAATGCAATATAAAGAAAAAAAGCTATAAATTAAATAAAAGAACAAAGAAGAAGAGACTGGCAGTATCAATATCCTGGGTATATTAATTAAATAATAACTCTATATGGTGAGTAATTAATGGGTACAAAAAATGGATACAGGAACTTGTGATGGTTTATTTTATGAGTTGACTTGGCTGAACCATGGTGCCCAGGTTTAATTCCTGTCAAGGGCATGTACCTTGGTTGCAGGCACATCCCCAGTAAGGGGTATATAGGAGGCAGCTGATCAATGTTTCTCTTTCATCGATGTTTCTAATTCTCTATCCTTTTCCCTTCCTCTCTGTAAAAAATCAATAAAATATATATATATTTTTAAAAGCAAGGGGAGAATGGGCCTTTAAAAAGAGAAGGAATACTTTTTCCTCTGAGAATGGAGGGAGGGAGGTTAAAGTTTGCATTACTGCTTTTCATAACATACCATCCAAAAACTTCATTGTTAAAAACAACAATCATTTACTATTTCTCATGAGTCTGCAAGCCAGCAAGGCAGTTCTACTGGATGAGAGTTGGCAAATCCTGTCTTAGGGCTTGTCTGTGGTCAGCTGAGGAATTGCCTGAAGTCTTGTCTGGACAAGGCTGGTCTTGTCTAGGACAATGCAGCTCTGCTCCACGTGCCTTCATCCTGCTAGACTGGCTTTCTTTTTAAGGCTATGAAAGGGTTCCAAAAAAGAAGGTGGAGACACACAAGTGCTTTTTCAAGCCCTCACAAAAGAATGTCTTATAGCAAAGCCCTGGGGTGGAATGGGAAGACATTAAAAAATTGCAGGGGGAAAAAAAAGATTAATAAAAAATTGCAGGGCAAATGGTATGGAAAAGAGAGGCCATTAATTTAGGCCTTTAATGTAATCAGTTTACCAAAGGGTATATGCATTTATAGACTTAATTGTAAATATAGAGCTGGAATGGAAAAAAGTCCACTCCTAATAGCAATATATATATTTTTTTCCTGTGGGGTAAGAAAGGTTAATTTCTAAAAAGAAAAAGAAAGGAAGAAAGAAAGAAAAAAATAGGTCATTATCAGCCCAGGAAGCATGAGGAAATTGAAGAGTTTTTTCAGTAGGTCTTGTGAAGATTTAGAGAATATTCACCAGGGACATATAAGGAATTGGCAAATAGTACTGGAAGCCTAAATGAAGTGGAGAACATATGTCTCTGGTGGCAATAACGGGAACATTTGTGTGATTTTTCTCCGATCGTCTAGCTTTGGCAGTGTGGAGAGGAGGTGGATGGTTAGACTGATTCAAGCTTAGACATTTTTAGGATAAGCTTGATGGAGGAACACGAGGGCTGAGGATTTTGAGGCCCCTCAACAGGGAGGAGTGAGCAGAAATGGGTGGTTTTCAATAACAAGGAGAGATAACAGGTGGCATGTATCTCAAAGGAGAATTTCTTTTCCAAGGGAATTGAAAAGTGATAGTATGAAAGTAATATTTAGAACCCAATATGAGCTATATTTTTGGTGAAAAGTGACATACTACTCAAGGCAAGGCGGTCAAAGGAACTTTCTGGGAGAAAATGCATGCTATAGGAACATTTGTTTGCATGGGCATTGGGGCTCTAAGAGGCCCCGTGAAAAGAGTGAGGAGGAAAGTCAGCCGTGGGTTAAAGGGCGTGTGGAGATGAAGGGAACAGGTCAAGAAGACCCTGAAGAGACAGGCCTTTTCCTGAATGTGGCTTCTACTGAGTGAAGTGACACACAGGGAAAGAGTTATGAACAAACAAGATTCATTATGATCTTCTTGGCAATTATATTGGAAAATACGTATTTGCTTGCTTAGCCAAATAATCATCTGTTTGCTTAATTTTAAAAATAGTTAAGTAAAAACTATTTAAGCTTGTTCCTGAAAAATAAGGAAGGACTTCACATTTGTTAAAGGAAGGAAGGAAGTCAGTCAGTCAGTCAGTCAGTCAGTCAGTCAAGAATGGGGTCCTCTTTCTCATGGGTCCTAAATGCAAACAAACCACCATTCCTCCTAAAGCGTCAGTCAAATCAGTAACGTGACTTAAAGCTGTGAAATGGTTTAGAGTGTGACCCCCAGGTTTCAGCCCCTCCGTGGCAGCCAGGTCCCACAGACTGAACATCCTTTCAAAATCACCGTTTCCTCACTTGTCTTTCTTGAACACCATAAGGGGAGACATGCAGATCACGATGAGACTTAAACAGACAAATAAATAAAAACCTTTATTCTTCCCCCTCTTTTTCTTCTTCCCCTCTCATAGGGCAAACTGTGCCTGTGCCTGTCTCACCTCAAAATGCCCCTGCAAAGACCCTCAGCCCATGTCTCTGGGCCATGTTTTCCTGCTGGCCACGTCTCAGGTCACATGTCCGTGGGCCCATTACAATAGGCACAGAGAGCTTCATGGCCATGAGACCCTGCAGCAACAGAAGCACCTGTGCTTAACGTAATGCTCTGCTGTCACTGTCTTCAAATTCTTTTCTTTCTTTAAAAAAAAAAAATATATATATATATATATATATTTTATTGATTTTTTTTACAGAGAGGAAGAGAGAGGAACAGCGAGTCAGAAACATTGATGAAAGAGAATCATCGGCCGGGACTGGTTTGGCTCAGTGGATAGAGCGTCGGTTTGGAGACTGAAAGGTCCCGGGTTCGATTCCGGTCAAGGGCATGTACCTTGGTTGCGGGCATATCCCTAGTAGGGGGTATACAAGAGGCAGCTGATCAATGACTCTCTCTCATCGATGTTTCTAACTCTCTATCTCTCTCCCTTCCTCTCTGTACAAAATCAATAAAATATATTTTAAAAAAAGAAAAGAAAAGAAAGAAAGAGAATCATCGATCAGCTGCCTCTTGCACCCCACCCCACTGGGTATGTGCCCACAACCAAGGTACATGCCCTTGACCGGAATTGAACCTAGGACCCTTCAGTCTGTGGGCTGACACTCTATCCACTGAGCCAAACCGATTTCGGCTGTCTTCAAATTCTTAACAATTCCGAGGAAGAGCCCTGCAAACTATGTACTGGTTCTGCCTCCAGACTGCCAGGTAGGGCAGCTCCAGAGGGCAGGAGGAAGTTGTGTGTCTGAGTCCCTGGGAAGACCAGCCTATGCACCACTCTCACCGCTTCTCCCAGGAGCGTGGACTGAGTGGTGCTGGTAGCTTCACCTTGACTCCCAGCTCTCTAATTCTGAGAGGAGCAGGCATGAATGTTGTCAACACTTACATATTAATAATTTTTGTCCTGTCACCTGCCTCTGAGGACAAAAGGTCAAGCTCAGACATAAATTAGAATGTGTATGTGTGGATGATTAACTTTATAAGAAAAGCTTAAATACATTTATTTTAGTAGAATAGAACATTGGCAACCAAATAAGTAAGAGAATATCTGATATTTCCAAGAGATAACTTTATGAAATAGAATTCTAGGAATGGAGTTATTCACTTGAGTGAGCTAAAAAGAGGAGTGGAAACTATTAAACAGTGAGGAAAGACCTAGAGCCGTGGTTGGCAAACTGTTGCTCGAGAGCCACATGCTGCTCTTTGGCCCCTTGAGTGTGGCTCTTCCACAAAATACTATAGCCTGAGTGAGTCTATTTTGAAGAAGTGGTGTTAGAAGAAGTTTAAGTTTTAAAAAATTTGGCTCTCAAAAAAGAAATTTCATTCGTTGTACTGTTTATATTTGGCTCTGTTGACCCATGAGTTTGCCGACCACTGACCTAGGGGAATATGTGAGGGTTGGGGGTCAGATAAAGACACTATACCCAAACAGACACAAAAATAAAAAACCCAAAACTAAAAAAGTGACAGTAACCTCTTTTTCAATTCTAGTCACAATCCCTGTGTCTTACTTCAGAGACTTCCTTGTTCCAAAGAAATTATATCTTTTTGTCCTTCGTTGCCCTTTACATGATAGCTTACACATTGTACTACTCAATCGATATTTGTTGTTTGACGGAAAATAAATCTGAAAAAGAAAATATTTTAGATGAAAGGAAGCAAGCTATCACCCTGCAGACTGACACAGATGGGTTTTATTTGACACACACTGGTTTTTGTTTAATATTTTGATCAACTGGAAATATTTAAAAATCAGTAAATGCCACACAAAAATCCAGAATTCTGGCTCCTTTTAGAAAAAATTAGAAGACCTAGCTACATAAGGGTACATGCTCTCCCGCTCTCTGTAGTTCCCAGTTTATACTACTGTCCTTCAACACAAATGCATCATTTCCATCCCCTGGGCATTAATCCTTTAAATCCACCCCTGTCCTATTCTTCCTTAACAGTAAGTATCAGGCTTCAGCAAACATCTTGGCAACCAGAATAAAGAGAACATTCCTCCTCCCTCATAACCAGTGGTGGCTCTCTGGCCAGCCTATTAAATGTAAACCCAGCTTTATGTACAACTTTTAGGGAATGCCTTTAAAAGGAGAAGACATGCCCTTTCTCCACTTTTTCCTTCTGCAGGCTGGAGTTCAGAAGTAATTGCTGGTGCTTCAACAGCCATTTTGGACCACAAGGTAAACTTGGAACTGGTACAGCAAGCAAGTAAAGGGGGCCTGAGTCTCTGCCTTTGCGAATCTGCCACATCAGCCCAGAGGTGCCTACCTCCAGGCTTAAATAGTTTCTATCTTATTTAAGCCACCATCGTTTTTTGGAATTTCTGTCACATACAGCCAAACCCAACCCTAAAAAATACACTATAAATCATCTCTCATAAGCAAGATTTTTCTTCTTTAACTTGATTTTTATTGTAAATGCTATGAAAGGTAAATGCTATGAAAAATCCTGGCCTCTGGGAAGTACCAGCTGTGCACTCCCTGAATACAAATTGGTTGAGCCTCCTCTATCTTTGGTTACTATATTGTGCAGTAGTAAAGCATGCAGGCTTTGGAGTTTCTGGATATTCCTATGCTTCAATTTCTTCATCTGCAAGGTGAGATATGAAAAACAGTAATGTCCTTAATGGCTTCTTAGAAAGTTTGTGGTAGGCAGTTAGACAGACATGAACAGAGCAAGGATAATGGGTCAGGGTGGAAAATCCTGGTGCCTTAGCAAAGGACAAATGTAGGGTGGGGCCTGGCCCCCAGGGTGATCTTTCCTCCCCCAGCATATTATTGGTCATGCAGTTTGGACCTCTGACCTTTCCTTCCTAGAGAAAACATTTAGGCCTCAGTTGTACTTCATCTCCAGGCCCAGAAAAGCAGTAAAACTGGAGCAGCCTGTAAGGGCACACCTGGAAAGCTGCTCAACATTCTATTGAGACCTCCCGCTGGGACCTCCACCCTTAAAAACCTTAGGAGGAGGACCTAGCAGAGCTCTCTTTCCCCCACCCCTTCCCCAGATGCTTTACCATTACCTTCCTCACCCCAGCTCTTAGGCTACTTCCTTTGCCTCTATATCTTGTTTCCTACGCCCATCTCTTTTATGGATTACTTCTCCCACCTCTGTGATTTTATAAATAAACTAGAGGCCCAGTGCACAAAATTTGTACATGGGTAGGGTCCCTAGGCCTGGCTAGCGATCAGGGCCAATTGTGGCCTTCCGGCTGCTGGTTGGGGCCTTCCCTGTGGCTGCCAGCCAGGGCCTGCCTTGGTTCTGCACTGCCCCCTGTAGTCAGCGCATGCCATAGCGAGCAATTGAACTCCCTGTCTTCTAGTCAAACTCCTGAGGGGGCACTTTGCATATTAGCCTTTTATATATAGACTAGAGGCCTGGTGCATGAATTCCTGCACCGGTGGGTCTCTCGCCCTGGCGTACTGGTAACGGGCCGAAACCAGCTCCCTAACATCTCCCGAGGGGTCCAAGATTGTGAGAGGGCAGTTCTTGGGTGACACATCCTCAAATTGGGCTCCCTCCTCTCTGGTTCTGGATTGGTTACCCGAGAGTCACCGCAACTCGGCAGCTCCTGTGTTGAGCGTCTCCCCCCTGGTGGTTGGTGTGTATCATAGCTACCAGTTGGATGGTCGAATGGTCATCAGGTTGGCCGGTCGCTTAGGCTTTTATATATATGATATAAGTGTTCTCATAGTTTGAGTATTGGTCCTGAATTCTTTCCTAGCCAGAACTCAGATATTGAGGTTTGCTGAATTTAGATCTGGTCCAACCCATCAGTCTAACACCTGGTGCTGTTCCCGCTCCCCACAATAAATTTAGATTAGATAATGCACAATGCACACAGCCAAACAGAAAAGTCTCATTCCTTAAATTCTAGGCAGATAAGAGAAAATGGTGGCCTGGAGGTGGAAAGGCATGCGGAATTAATTAAGAGAGGCACATTTCATTTTGTGCTTACTCTACTCTTCCCACATCAAGAAGTATTAAAAAGTGTGGGAATAATAGTGAAAAAGTTTGCACCAGAAGATAAAAGAGCCCAGAATGTTATTACTTCAAGCCATCATATTTAAAATTAAGACCAATGAGGGAATCTCGAATCTTAATGCTTTTCTATCTAAATCATCCCTTAAAGGCAGTGAATCTGATGACAGTTGAATGGGAATTACATTTTCTTTCAAAGTACCATTATTACACTAGTAGGTTCTCAAAAGAGCCCTGAGTTTATTAAGAAACTTAATTCTTGCTGATGGAGTGAATCAGAATAGTTTCCATAAAATAAAAACAATGCAAAACATAGGCATTTCTCCTTCTGTAAACAGAACAACTTCCATATATTTGCTTTTTTTTGGGAGGGGGGGTGGGGACCAATTGTGCCAGCAAATTAGAATCAGAAGAAATTCCATTTACTTGGTCATTCTTATAAAATTAAAAAGTTTTCAGCCGACATCTTGGCGAGGCAGCAGCGTCTCTCTGCTCTCCGACCCCTGCGATGCCGCCCAAGGACGACAAGAAGAAGAAAGATGCTGGAAAGTCGGCCAAGAAAGACAAAGACCCCGTGAACAAGTCGGGGGGCAAGGCCAAAAAGAAGAAGTGGTCCAAAGGCAAAGTTCGGGACAAGCTCAATAACCTGGTCTTGTCTGACAAAGCCACGTAGGAGAAGCTCTGTAAGGAAGTTCCCAACTACAAGCTCATCACCCCAGCGGTGGTCTCCGAGCAGCTGAAGATTCGCGGCTCCTTGGCCAGGGCAGCCCTTCAGGAGCTCCTCAATAAAGGGCTTATTAAACTGGTCTCAAAGCACAGAGCCCGGGTGATTTACACCAGAAACACCAAAGGCGGGGATGCCCCCACTGCCGGAGAAGATGCGTGAACAATAGATCTCACCAGCTGTGCATTTTGAAAAATAAACATTTATTAAATCAAAATATAAAATTAAATTAAAATGTTTTTCCTTAAGCCACTATCTAACCCTTTCCTAAAATTATCTCCAGAGAAACCTAAAACTTTAAAAATATCTTTGGTTGTAAGTAAATGTGGGATTTAAAAGAAATAAAGAAGATGGCATCATTTTAAGAAAGCAATTTAAAAATGGTTTTTTTACTAGGCAAATAGAACATAAGTGGAAAGTATTGGCATAGATGGAAAAAGGATATCTGTAATAATAAAAGCAAAATATGCTAATCAGACCGGGTGTCCTTCTGGATAACCTTCCAGACAAAGCTGGGGCTGTGAGGGCAGAGCCCCTTGCATGAATTTCATGCATTGAGCCTCTAGTTATACATAAAATCAATATGTAATTTACATAGAATTTGATTGTGACATTTTTGTTCATACTCAGTGTCCATAGTGAGAATATCTTATTCTTTGGTGTGTTTTTATGTATTAGTCATTTATGAATAAAGAATCAGCTTTTATATATCATTCACTTGAATGACTTACAAGTGTCCAGATTTACAGAAATATTCTAATTTAAAAAATTAAGTCTTCCTTATATTTAATTATGACATGATACTTCAAGAATAAATTACATAAAACAGGCCTTAAGAATGACCTGAGAATCCATATTGTAATTGATAGAGATTATGCTAGCAATATTTTCCCAACAAATTTTAAACTCTATGAAGGTGTGATTGTGGGGACACTTTATTGTTATAGTCCTTAGTTTGTTTTTGTGAGAATTGTCTGGAATAATCACTTTGGATAAGGCTAATGCCCTCCAGGTAAATAGTAACTACAATCAGGCTTTCTATCTTTGATGCCAGATTTGCAATGTATTTGAGATCTTTCAATATGAAACAGGCTGATGGATCTTGATTAAATACAGCAGTTTAAGTGTGGGTACCAATGTTCCATTTAAAATGTTTGTGTTTTTGACTTTTGGATATACGAGAGACTTAGAGTTTCTTTTACTTTTCAGCTACTTCCCTGAGTGCCTGGCTTCCCTTGATATAACCGGGCAGCCCTGCCCATTAATAAGAGCACTCAATCCAGCCAGCCCGAGAAGAGGGAGGGCCCCAGGACCATCTCTCTGGAACAGCAGTGTGCATAGAGCACACACCCAGTTCACGCTGTCAATGTCACAGCCTTGAAGCAAAGTCAAGACTCAATTTCCCTGAAGACTTGTTGACTACATATATATGCCTCCACCCACTCATCTCTTTCACTTGCCTACAATGGCTAGAAAAACTAACGCTTAGCTACATCTTGGGTAAAGTTCCTTTCCTCTTTCCCCCATTTGGTCATGAGAGCATGGGGGTGATGAGAATCAATTTCTTTATGCTTTTCTCACATCCTGTGAGAATGTGTCTTTGTGTAAAAGTTGACTTATGGGAAACAGTGGTTCTCAAACTTCAGCAAGCACAGAATCCCCCGGAAACCTTAACCAAACACAGATTTCTGCGCTCCATCCCCAGAGCTTCTGATTGAAAGGGTCTGAGGTTGGGTTAATAATTTGCTTTTCCAAAAAATTGATTAAGTTGATGCTATTGGTTGGAGTATTACACTTTGAGAACCACTGATCCAGAGGAAAAAAAGAGCCCATTATTTGACCCTGTCTCTGGAACTAGAAAGTTCTTTAATCAGCTGATGTGTAATCTCCCAGATTTGGGGGTATTTAAAGATCATATTGTTTGTTGTCAAAATGCACATCAAATGGATTCCTTTGTGCTATTCAAATAAGTGTTCTTTGATCAAGCTCAAAACCTACAGCTCTGGATAGAGGCTAGAGATTACAGTGGTAGAGCTAACTGCCACCTTCATGATTTCCCTTCTGCTTCATTGGCTTCTCATTTGGGTGCCTGACCAGCAATGTGATCTGAAATTTCTTCAGCCACTTTCTAGTTTAAATAATAAAGGCAGGAGCATTGTCTTCTGAAGTATAAATTTAAAGAGAAAGAAAGAAAGAAAAAAGAAAAGGAATAAAGAAGGAAGGAAAGAAGGATGAAAGGAGAGGAGGAAGAAAGGGAGGAAGGAGGGAGGAAAGGAAGAATGCTTAAAAATTTCTAAAAGGATGTTTTTTAAATAATGCATTTAGAGGCTGCCTGAAAGGAATTGTATTGACTTAATCATAATTAAAATGCTAATAGCAACTAATTTTTATTGAATGCTTACTTACACCAAGTAACTGCTAAATGTTTTATATGCTATACCATTTCATCTTTACAAAATTCCTATGAAGTACTTACTATTATTACTCCTATTGAAAATGTGTTTGGTGATATTCAGTCATAATTAGAACCAGATCATAATGAATTTTAATGTAAAAATTTCAATATGTTAATTATATCAAAGGGTAAGGAGTGTTTACATTTCTTGTAAGCTGGTACCCTGTTTTTTTGTTCCCTGATCTTGCTTTTCTACTGCTGTGGTTTTGTTTCTGCTTTTCTGTTCCTTTCTTACATAGCTGAAATTCTGGCCTTTCTTCTGGTCCAACTCAGTGACACTTCCTCCATATTTTCTGTTCTCACCTCATTGTCTTTTGAACAGTCACAACAATGAAGAGATGGATGTGTTTGGACAGGGTATCATTCTCATTTTTGCCACACATGAGCCACCTTTGAGCAAATTAATGCCTCTGTTTCTGTACTTGAAAAATTTGACTAATAATACATAAGTACATTAATTTGCTTTTATCTTATGGAACTTATGACTCAGTAATTAATTGAGTTTCCCTCTGTGCTGGTTTGTAGAAAGCTCAGAGATCTTTACAAAATGTACTGGATCTTATGGCATATCTTCTCTGTACTACTCATTTTTTCTTTGCACCATTTTTCTGTAGATTTAACTGAAAATAACTTAAAATTAATTTATGAATATAATTCAATGCTGTGCATACAAATTAGAAAATACATATTGTCCTCACTGAAGAATAATCACTATGATATCCCCTGGACCTTGAGCAACACAGGGATTAGGGGTGCTGAACTCTCTATGCCCCTCTCCCTCTTTTAACTTCCCCAAAACATAAATATTAATAACCTGTTGTTGACCGGAAGATTTACCTACAACAAAAACAGTCAATTAATACATATTTTGTACCTCATATGTATTATATACTGTATCCTTACAACAAAGTAAGCTAGAGAAAAAATGTTATTAAGAAAATCATAAAGTGCTGAAACCGGTTTAGCTCAGTGGATAGAACATTGGTCGGCGGACTGAAAGGTCCCGGGTTCGATTCCGGGCAAGGGCATGTACCTTGTTGCAGGCACATCCCCAGTAGGGGATGTGCAGGAGGCAGCTGATTGATGTTTTTCTCTCATCGATGTTTCTAACTCTCTATCCCTCTCTATAAAAAAATCAATTAAAAATATATTAAAAAAAAGAAAATCATAAGGAAGATAAAATACATTTACTAAGGTGTTAAATAAAAGAACTGAACTTCCAGGCAAGATGACTGAGTAGGTAAATATTGTACTCGCATCCTCCCACAACCACATTAAAATTAGAACTAAACTACAGAACAATCATCATTCAGAAACCACCTGAAAATCTGACTGAATGGAACTCCTACAACTAGAGAATGAAAGATGAAGCCATGTAGGATAAGTGGAACAGGCTGGTCCCACACCCATGGGTGGAGGATAAAAATTGGGAGGGATATATTGACTGCAGAGGTCCCCCCTGAGATGTTTGGGGTCCCCATAATAGGCCTTCCATCCCAGGATTCCAATGCCATGAAGAAAAGTCTCCATAAATGGATGTAAAAACCAGCTGGGATTGAGGTTGAGGGTGACAGAGGGCTGCTGGAGTCCTGGCAGTTCCTCTTAAAGGGCCCATGCAAGGACTTCTCAGACTCACTCCCTGAGTTCCAGAAGTAGGGCAGCAGCTCGAAAGGCACCAGGAGCACACAGGGAGGAATTGAAATGTCCGGTATCAGGTTGAGAGCTGGAAGAACAGCTTTCTTTCAGTCAGAAGTGAGTAGCAGAGGCCTTTGTTCCTTTTCTGAGCCTTTCCTCAGAGAGCCAGAAGGCAGGAGCCATATCTGAGTTCCCATCAACTTGGCTATGACTGTTTATCCCCACCCTAGTGATTCCCTGAGGCCCCATCCCATCCAACTTTCAGGCCTACCAAAGTTATTTCTAGTGGCTTTTCCATATGAATGTCCTGCCTTGGCTCATGCTTTAGATTTTTTCTAAGTCTCTCAGTCAGCATCTGGCTTCAGCAAGCTCTGTACCTCTCACTAAGTGGCTTTAGCCCTGGCACAAGCAGCAACAGGCCTTGCTTGGTTCCCAGGTTGGCCTTGCATGGGTACTTCCAAGCCCAGCACAATTAGCATCATCTGCAGATCACTTATAGTTCATGCTGGATGGCTCCAGGCAGAACATAGATGGCAACTGACCTTGGCCTGCATCTCCTGGGAGGCCCCAGAGCCAGTACATCCAATGGAGAGATTCAAACCACATCAAAGCACCACCATCCTAACATCTCCACGTGCAACACACTCAAGGGGTGGAGTCAGCAGGCACCAGGACATTGCTGAAGTAAGTCCTGCTCTGTGGGGTGGGCCCCTGCACAGCTGATCCTCCACAGTGATCAATGGAGGTCACTAGTTGGTGGTCGCAGCCAGTCCTTGCAGCTGATTGGCCTGGGGATAAATGCTTCCCATTGACATGTCAATAGCAATCAAGGCTCAATTACAAGAGGAGGGTATACATA